AAATGTTGTCTTATTTGGTTGTGGTAGCTAATAAGGTAAATCGTGGTCAGTGAGGTTAACAGATCCTGGCTTCAGAGATACTAAAAGCTACAAGTTCTGAAACATGGTCTTAGAATCATAGAGCTGTGAGAATTGGTACATGCAGAAAACCACAGGTCTGTAAATGTCCCGTGTATCTCACTGAAACCACGCTCAAATATTTATCATTATTAAACCATCACCCAAGTCCAAGTGGAATTTACTGTGCTCAAACTGATTTTGCATTTGAAGATAATAAAATGTTTGTAATTGCATTTCAATTTAATGAATTCTTGGGCATGGGTAGTTTCTGCCGTGTTCTACTGATGGGTCATGTAGCTAATTTACTGAGGTTTCTCATTTTTATTTGGGGGTTGGGGGGCGATCCAGGGAATGTGGCAGCTGTATAGCAAATCCTTGTTAAATTAAGAGTAGGGAAAGAAGGGCCACATTTTCTAGATATGGTACAGATGGGATTGGCTTCAACTTGTTTATAACCTGTTGCTAGTTTTAACATCTTGTTTCAAAGATTTTTTTGAAAGGAAGGAGGAAAAGGTTGGGATGGAGAGAAGAGCAAGTTTTTCTCAGGAGTCAGTTGGAGTGAAACATTTAAAGTTTGTCAGCAGAAAACCACCTGTGGAAAGCTGTGTCACTGTTCAGGGATGGTTTCGAGGAGATTCTGAGCAGCTTTAGTAAGCCCCATTCTGAGTGAGAAGGAATAATTCTTTTTCCTGCAATCTAAAAAAAATCCACCCTAATGTAGAGGGTAGCAAGCGCCAAAGATCTACTACTAACAAACTGAATCACTTGCTCTTATATTTGAGACGTAAATGAACATATCCTGGATTTGCTGCCCATTATGCCAATACTGTCAAGGGCCGTCTGCCCATTAGTGTGGCCCGATGGTCGTCGGGTCACACGGGAGCAGGACTGCCGACAGCCCCACGCAGCTGTTGTGCTTGGGCTACCTGTATTTATATGCTGTTTGCAGATGAGGATTTGTTGAGAGAATCTATTTATTGAATACAAGACATTCCCGATAACAACAGGCTAATATCTAAAAAGTACAGCTTATATTTTTAGAAATAAAACGATAATACGCCCCCAATCCGAGCTCATCACATAGAAACAAAGGGATATCTTGGGGGTGGGGTGAGCCAACTCTGTTTATCCAGGTTTTCAAATGACTGTTCTTTCAAAAAGTGCATGGAATGCATCCAAAACAAATAATGTTTTGTTAGATGAGAAGACCAAAAGGGAAATCCTAAAGAAAGGAGGATAGATGATCTTTCTTTAATGTCAAAACTGACATAAACACATCCCCTCCCCCTTTTGCTCAAGATAATTTTCTCAACAAGACCCAGATTGCTTCGGTCTTGCCTATCACTCTTTGAAGCACTTTCCTTATTATTAGGAGTGGGGGCAGGGTTTCCTTTGAGTATTTTTGCAGCAGTGAAGAGTTCCTCCTTTAAATACTTTCACATGATGAGGGAATTCCGCTTTCAAAGTGCTGTCATCTCTGTGGCTTCTCTGCCATGGGACAATTTATTCTTGGATGAAGGTCCTTCGTTTGATTGTCAGTAAGGACTTGCTTTTCTGATGGGTTCTCCTTCAGCTTTATCTGGGAGACCTAGAGAAAAAATTCAACGTTCTCCTGCGTCAACCTTATTGAAGTTGGCCATGATTCTCTTTTGAAACGTGTTCCATCACACGGGGTTACTTATAGTCTTCAACATGGTTGCCCTTGTCAATCTCCACTAAGATTTGGATGACCTATCAAATATTCCATCTTGAAAACTGCGTTTCTCCTACTGTGCAGAGAGACACTGAATTTTGGGGAGTTTTGAAGAGAATTTTTTTTTTGGTTGGTTGGTTTCTTAGTGTCTCTTCTGATATTTAACCAACACCATGGGAGACAACCAATCAACTATTCAAGTGTCAACAGTTTTCCCAGAAACATTGAAATCTTTTGAGAACCCCGACTCCATGTCCCTACACCTCATCCTTGTCTGCTCTTGAATATAGTCTTCTGGAAAATTCTATAAATATTTAATTCATGGAGACAAAATGTATAGCTGTATAGTTTAATAGCTCATTTGAAAACAGTTCCCTTCCCTCCCCCAAATTTTTAATAGGCAATGATTCACAACAGTTAGGAAAGAATTAGAATGAAGAAACCCCAAATAGAAATGACAGTTTTCTCAATATTATTACCTAAGTTGAGCTTCTAAGTATTTGTGGTTATTTTAGATAAATGAATAAAAAATTATCCATGTCCCAAAGTAGATTACGTCATTTATGTCATTACTCTTGGACTTTCTCTTTGAACAGTTTGGTTGTTAGTGAGAGAATCAGTATTGTTGAGGATACATTCATTATCTGCTTCCACCTAGAAACTCCCAAGTGCAGCGATGTAACTACTAACCAATCCAGACATGGAACTAAACATATTTCTTAAAACCTACAGTCTCCTTCCTGTTATAGTATTGAAATGAATGATGTTTTGACCTCGTATTGAGGAAGAAAGTGGAATGTGAGAAGAGAACCCTAGACTAAAGTCAGAATAAACAGATTTTAGCTTTGACTCTGCCACCTACTGACTGTGTAATATTGGCAAGTACCATACCCTTCTGCTCCCTCTCCCTCTCCTCCTCACAAAAAATCCTGTTAGTGACCTAGATGATCTTCATGGATTTGCCATCCTAAGTAAACAATAAGCTTACTCTACCTGTAAAGAGAAGCTTAATTATGATGTTTGAGCCAAGTTGAATACTCCAGTGAAAAAATAGCATCGCTAATTTCTTAATCTGTTCTGTAAAAAAAGGAATGTGATTATATTTTCTGTCTCCTGTGGGACTCTGTGCTGTATCATAATTATCCATCCCGTCTTCTTGTTTATGCAGACTCTGCCTTAAAAGTGCTCACCATCTAGTGAGGAAAGCATGAAAACAAGTCAAAAATCCAGTATGATAAGTAGAACAAGATAAGTGTATATAATATGAAGAGGTAGCATGGGAGGAAGGAATATATATTTTATATACATTTCTCCATACCTATTTTGAAGTCTAGAAATAGGAAAATGTATGTGTGTTGGAAGGTAGCTTTATGGAAAATTAAAAAATAAATTCCTAACTCTTTACCTGTTTACTACCGAAGCAAATATGTCCCTCCATAATATTAGTTGCCATAACCAGCAATTAAATGAGTTATAACACGGAAGGTTAAAAAATATAGAATGTTCTCTTTCTTTTCATAGCTAAATTATTTTTTAATGTCTTCAAACATCACCTTTAAACCTCTCTTTTCTAGCCATTGGCACTTCTGCCATTGAACAAAGAAGAATACGTAAATGTGCCAAGTAGTCATTGAAAATCCAAAACTATAGCCTAGAATATGTTTAGATTCTCTTTAGAATTTAGAAAACAGGGAAAGACAAGTTTTCTTAAGAGTGCTGGTGTGTCTTGGTGTGATTGTTTTTTGAGGAATGTTATCTTATACCTAGAAAATTAAGGGTTTCCGGGTGATTTGTAGCAATCTTGAACTCAAATTGGGGAATTAGAAAGTGTTTCAACTCTGGGTGTTAAATCCAGCACCAACTGTGAAAGCTATACTGGTGCCTAGTGGGGAGTGGGGGGTTTGGAGGAGTTTCTTATCAAAACTTGGCCTGAGCTAATTTGTTTTGTTTGAAACTGGAAATCAAATTGTTGAAGTCTGCATTCTGTTTTCTTTCATTTGGTGTATTAACACAAAGCACCGTATTTTTAAAGGGCTTCCTCCTTTCTACAGGAATAAATTTGGCTTCTGGAAGAGGAAAAAAAAAAAAAACTGTACCAGCAGTTCGGCAACATCACACCTCTTCCATCATTTTGGGCTTCAGCTCAGGAACTCCCAACAAATGTTCTGGAAATATGTAAAAACATGCCTAGAAGTACTGAACATAAAACCTGACTGTACACTCATAAACATTTGTACAATCTTATGGTCCTTATCACTGAGTTTCTTAAAGCCGTGTGTGCATATTTAAAAAATCATTTGAATAAATGAAAATTGGAACAAGATGCTTTTTGAGAGAAGGTGCTCCCTAGAGATGCCTGAAGAACACTGCTCTATGACTTTCTTCTAGGAAGTAAGCAAGCCTCTTGCCCATAAAATAGAAGCTGCTTTCCAGATAGCCCTGTCCCGAGAAATTAGATTAAGATGGAAACTATGGAATAGTCATTTTTTTAATATTTTAACCATACAAACTAAGTACTGAAAAAGCATGCTTCCTAAAGAGGCATGGGAAGTTGAAAAGTTAACAGCCAGAACAATTGTAATAAATAAATGCTTAAAAAAAAAAAAAAAGCGGTGGGGGGGGGCACCCGAGTGGCTCAGTTGGTTGAGTGTCCAACTCTTGGTATGGGCTCAGGTCATGATCTCGGGATCCTGGGATCCAGCCCTGTGTCAGTCTCCATGCTCAGCAGGGAGTCTATTTGAGGATTTCTCTCTTTCTCTCCCTCTGTCCCTCCCCTCATGGCACATGCGTGTGTGCGCACTCTCTCTTTCAAATAAATAAATCTTTAAAAAAAAAAAAAAGAACAACTGGATTGTGTTTTGGAAAATGTCACACTGTTAAGACTCCTAGTGAGTGCCCAGTGACTCTGAAGATGAGAGACAAGACCAAGTGGCAAGAGAGAGCTTTATAAATCCAGGGGCGCTCTAGAAAACTACTAGATGGTCTAAGAATGCTTCTTGAAACATAAACTCTCAATGCAACTGTGATCTGAATGTGAGGAGAAAGTGATTCTTAAAAAAGAGTTGCACTCTTAGGAAATATATTATCCTTCAGCTTTTGACCTTTTTTTTTCCCCCTCAGGTTGAAGAAGTTAAGCGTGATTCATATACTAAAGATTTTCATTCTTTGCTTAGTAGTTCTTTAAAATTATATTCTAACCCAAGTCTGTCTCTCTGTCCTGTTTTGTTCTGGTGCTGCTCTGCCCCAGGTTGGCCTTCATTCCACGATGTGATCAGTTCTGATGCAATCACATTCACGGACGACTTTTCTTACGGGATGCACAGGGTGGAAACGAGCTGCTCTCAGGTCAGTTGACTCTACCCAAAACCCACTATCCTGCTCACTCTGCATTGCAAACGCTTTCTGGACTCCTGGTTGTGCTAAATATAGCAACTAAGGCCAAGTGGCTGATCACGAAAGGGACAGACACAAGGACAAGCACAATGAAGTCTCTATAAAGTAATGACAGCGCAGTCTTCAGGTGTTCACGAAGTCTGGTTGAATGCCCGTCATTGGCTTCAACGCGATTTAAAAAAAAAAAAAAGAAGAACCGTAGGAAAAATCATCTTCGGTCGATTGAGTACAGCAGGGAATGGGCTGTTCTTAGGGCATACGAAGGTCTCATTATGTGGCTTTGTATAATCTGATATTTAGAGAATACCCCTCTCCCCGCAGTTCTGTGCACGTGTTGCTCAGCTGTGATGGTCTCAACATAGTTGGCCAAGACCCCAGAGACAGCCTTCCCTGTGTGGGTGTGAGGAGGGAGGCTGGAGACTGGGCAGTGGGAAGAGGAGGTGCAGTAGTAGGCTGTGTGAGCTCAGAGTGAGAGCATGTGACAAGGTAATGCCTCCTCTACTTCTCCTCGTATATGGGCCCATCTTCATTCCTAAGGATGTTCCAATTCCCATCACTCTGCTCTAACAGAATTAGGGCGGGCTCTGTGGGAGAAAATGAGCATGTGTTGAGGAGGCAAAGATAGTTAATCTGTTATGCCAATGAAGAGACTTGAACTTGTGGGCATTTTGTATTTAAACTCAGAGACATAGGCAGAACCTTCTGTACACAGAATAAGAGCAACTGCACATTCCATTCTACACTGGATCTTAGCCAAAAGGCCGAGAAGCGATTCCATTCTAGAGCAGGCAGTCCTGTTCTAATCTGCTTTGCAGAACAAGTGAAATGTAAAGTCTGAGTGCGGTGGCACAGAGTAGTTTGTTGGGGGATGTCTGTTGCGCATATCAGAGGTAAAGGGGGCACCATCAGGCAGCTGAAATAGCAAAGTGATTGCCACGTGGGCCTCCCTCAACATTCTTCTACCTGCCCTTTAACCCCCTTCATCACGCACAGGAGTTTTAGGGAGTAAGTGACATATTTACTACCAAGTAGGGAGGGCGATTGGTTAGAGGCTAACCATCTGATGAATTTGTGTTCTCTTTCTTTCTTTCTTACACTTGTATAAATCTACATCGATTTAAGCAGCAGAGCTGAGACTTGAACTTGGGCACTGAGCTCCAGAGCTCTAGGGTGCTTGGATGGATAGGCCATGAAGAGTCATGTTAAAACAAAAACATCCTATGTTCTCTAGCAGGTTTAATTTAATTCAGGTTTGAATTCAGTTGCATTTCAATTGATATTTTTATTACTGCCACAAAAACTAGTTATGATTATCTCCCCAGGAATCTAAAATATTCGACAAAAACGTAACTGGGTAGGATGGTACATGGTAACGTATACTTTGGTATGCAGTACTTAATAAACCTCTTTTAGGACTAACAGTTGCATTTTGTTTTAAGCTGCCTTAAAGGCTGTTCTTTGCTACTCTCCGTTTTATTCAGAACCCACTTTCAAACACTGAGTCCCAGGAGAACCAAATAAAAAAGGCACAGAAAATGTGAGGCGTAAGATAATAACTTTCCTTAACGCCCTAGTCTCTGACGCTCTGTGACTAATTCTTAAAATTCACAGAATAAACTTGGTCCTTTCTGTCAGCCACAGGGATAATATTAGTTGTGGTCAAGAAAAGACCATTATGAAGATGAAGGGGTTCTACAGTCACCAAAGAGAAATGAAACCTACAAGCTGCCCAAATCAGGCAACATTAAAAAAAGGTATTAAGCTAAACAAGGCACAGCTCTCAGCCCTTTGGTCAAAGGCCTAGGTGACTGTCACTATACTTGGGGTCCTTTCTGAATGGTTGGGTGAGGAACTAACACTGACCTATCCCTTCTGGCTTCTTTCCCCACCACCTTTATTTCTCATATTTGGAAAGCGTGTGACTCTTTCTTAAATAAAAGTCTTAAATTTAAAGAGAAGAGGGAGGGAAATTTGTTCTATTAAGGCATGTGTAAAAATACATGCTCTGTGAAGTTTCATGGAGAAAATAATCAGGTTCGAGCACTAAAGAAAGATGTGTTTGCTGGATTCTTCTCCCTGTGGGCAGAGTGGGGCATGTCTGCCTCGTGAGAGCAGTAATAACTCACTAAAAGTGTGCTGGGTGTCTGTCTGTCTTCTTTCCTTCCTTTTTTTCTTTTGTGTGTGTTTCATCCACGCATTTATTTTCCTTTTGTTCTACATTTTTCTTGACTTTTTTCTTTTCCCCATTTTCTCATTCATCCCCCCCTTTTTTTTTTTAAAGATTTATTAATTTGACAGAGAGAGACACAGCGAGAGATGGAACACAAGCAGGGGGAGTAGGAGAGGGAGAAGCAGGCTTCCCGCGGAGCAGGGAGCCTGATGCGGGGCTCAATCCCAGGACCCTGGCATCATGACCTGAGCTGAAGGTAGAGACTGAGCCACCCAGGCGCACCTCATTCATCCTTTTTATCTCAACTTGGAAAAAAAATAACTGACTTAATGGTTTCCATACTAGAGTAAACACTTGCATTTTGTTTTCTAGTTTCTGATTCTTAATGCTACTTTTCATGATAAGTTTATCTTTTTTTTTTTTAACCTTCTATTCGTTCAGTTTATGTAGTCTCTTCCCCTACTCACAGCTTCTCCCATCATTTTGTGGGGGAAGTGGTGTAGGAAACTTCACTCTGATCTGCTTCTCCTCTTTCTAAAATTCTTGTTCCATTTTGAATTCACATGGCTTGTCCTCTCTCTGGACTGAATTGCAACAATGTGGTTTGTCTGATGAAGAATCTGTAGATGCTTTAGGTATCTCATAGACATTCTCAGACAAAACAAGTAGGCTCAACCTACTTGCTGGGCCTTTTTTTCGGGGGGACTGTTGGTCCATAATTCTTACTCCAGTATTTAGGATTCTTCTTTTTTTTTTTTTTTAATTGTGATATGGATCATGCTATGCAGTGAATTAGACCTCATATTTGGGTAAGGGATTATAAATGTGTTGGGAGCCATAACTTACCACCTCTTTATACTACCCTGTAGTTTTTCCACGTGTCCTGTGACTTCTTTAGGTAATAATACTTTAGTAAAATTTTGTTGAGAAAGTTAAGATTGATTCAGTACTGTCATCACTTTTCAGAGAAAGAGTGCAGTCAGGTCCTTCTAAAAGAATTGCTGTGTAAGAAACCTAGCACACTGCCTCATCTTTAAGTTAACAGCACAGAAAACGAGCAAGGGTGATGGAGATTCTTCAGGGCCTTCTGTTAGGATTCCTGCTCGTGGAGGAAATAGGTTGCCCTGTTACATTCTGATTTTTGTTGCAACCATATTTGTTTGCTTTTCCTATTCTACCCGCTGAATTGTGGAATTATATTCTAATTAACTCTTTCAAAGAGGGTCTTTATCTTAAATCTGTCCACTTTAGTATCTCTCCCCCACCCCAGCTGTGGCAATTTTCTAACAATTTGCAGTTATAAAGAGTTTTTTTAAGTTTTATTTACACTTTTCAGCTAGTGATAAAATATGTGGAGTCTGTCCCAGTTTCACTGACTACTATGAATAATTGTTTGACAGCTTCTCCCTAATCCTCCAACCCCAGCCTGTTAAGCAGTGCTTTGTCAGGAGTTTAAATTCAGTGCAAAGAGGTAAGAGTTACATGGTTTAAGCTGTAGTTCAGAGAAGTAAGCCCCTCCTGGTAATACTTGGGGAATTCTTCCTTCTTTAGATCAAAATTCTACATCTGCAGCAAATGGGAGACCAATAAATCACTTAACTTTTGGAAATCATCTTTAAGGAAACCATGAGATCCCTGAGTTTCCGCAAGTTGGAGTCTATTTTTGCCTGTTGCTATTACTAGCTGGAATCTACGGTGGAGTCCCTTAAGTTTGTTTTAGATCATTATTAATTTGTTCTAAGGCAGCCAAATCAGCAGAAAGGTAAATATCCACCCATACACGGTATTTTTCAAAAGTTAAGCAGATTTTGGTAAAACCCCAAACCTTATTAATCTTTTGCAGATGACAACTCATATATTGCTGATGATTAAAGATACCCATGTGTTACAATAGGGTTTCAGGCTCACAGCCCATCTCTCTTATTCTTGATCTTTCAGTAAAATCATAATGCTAAACTGGTGACTTCACAATCATTTCCTTGGCAAAAGATTAATATAACAAGCACAGAGGAAAAGAGCCCTACTTACAAGTGTCTTCAATAACGGTGGGAGAAAACAGGATACTACTGGCAAAGTAAATTGCTTTTCTTCTTAAACTCTTTTCTCCTTCTCATCCTGCCCCATGTGCCCAAGTGTAAAAGCCCCTGCTTTGAAACTGCTTCATCTTGTAGATCAAACACTTAAGAGAAAATGACAATAATAAAGCCCCAAACATTCTAGAAATAGCTGGGAGAAAACCCTCTAGGACAGTTGGAAATACATCAGTGCGGAAATATGTAACTGTGTTGAATGCACTATTTGTGTTTCCTATGCCCACAATTGAGAATTGCAGTCAGATTTTAAGGAATTATGTTAAATTTGATGTTCAATCACTTTTGGGAGGCAGGGGGTGTCTTTTCCCTTGGTTCTCTGTAGGATCCCCAGTTGCCAACTTTTCTGAGTGGGAGGCTTAGGTGATAAAGGATTCCCCTGGGAACTTTAAAATTTCCTTTTGAACAATTATCTCATGCTTTTTGCAGAATGAGAGCTAGAATATTCAGTTGTAGCTTGTATCTTATCTATGCAATAAATGTGTAACCATTTTCAAACCACTTTCAGAATGCACACCAAAGATTTTACCCTGAAATAAATCATTAACAGCAGGTTTCAGAGATTTCTTCATCAGGCAGCCAGTTTGTTTCAGTTACAAGCAGGTGTGCTGCAATCCCAACACATTGCCAGTTGGCTGGGGCCGGGGAGGCCAAGCTCACAGGCGGCTACAGAAACAATGCATCACTGACAACTTCCATTCATCATCCCAGCCTTCGGCCAGGGGTAGAAGCTGGAAAGAATGGGCTCCATGTGCATTCCCCTTGGGGAGGAACCTTCAGGACCTGTGCACTTTTCAAAGAAACTGGGTAATAGTCGTTTATGGGAGACTGGGTGTACCTGGGAGGAAGCAGAAATGGTGCTTCGTGGTTCAGCTTCCTGCAGACGGATGGCTTTGCAGCTTGGCGGGCACTGGAGCTGGCATGTGTAAATGAACACCTGGCTATGTTTTGAAATGTTGCTCCTCCCTCAGTTGTCGGAGCCTGGGGTGAATCTTCCAGAACACCTTGTGGCAAGGATGATGAAGCGGTCACTATCATTTGTAGGGGACTCGTGCCTTTTCCGAGGATTTCCCTACCCCATCCCTAACCCATAGAGTTGTCTGCCAACGATTTTTGTTGCCTCTTCCTAACTGTAAGTCCTCTTTCTCGTCCCCCTCCCTTTTCCTTTTGGATTAGGGACATCTAGTATCTGTGTTTTTCCTTCCATGTAAGCAAAACACCAGTTCCAGATTTTGCAAACGAAACTGCAGACCAATAACCAACACGATTCAACAGATTACTTTACTCTAAGTTGGATTTGTTCAAGATGATTTGGGAAATGAAGACCATATAAATACTCCTAAGTAGCTTCAAGTATATCCTTACTGTGTTTTATTTTTGGAGTAAGGTAAACAGAACCATTTTCTAGATATGCCCAAGAGATGATTAATAAAGGTAACGTCCAGATAGCTGTGTTCTCTCATTAAAACACAAAACCAGAAAACCCATTCGAGGCTTTTAATGTGCAAGGTCCACCACTCAGATGCCAAGTCATCAGAGTGCCAGAGCTGCATGTGAGATGGATAATTGTGCGCACACACTGGTCACCGAGAGTCCCAGTTCCTGTTGGCCTGCATGCTGTTTTGGTAGGCAGCAATAGGTGTTTTCCTGTGTCCATTGGGTAAGCATATGCATTTTTACTGGTGCATCTTAGCTGCTGATGCCTGAAAATTTGGCCTCAATTGTTTATAGAAAGGAAAAGCAATCTGAGCTGTTTGCCTTGGTATTACCTAAAACTGCAGAGAATGTGGTAAAATAGTGCAAGATTTGTTTTTTAGGCCTGTTTCATATTTTCCAGGCAATAGATCAAATCAGTTCAGGGTTCATTTTTAGTTCTTTAATAAGCTGACACAGTATGTTGGCAGTAAAATAAGAATGCACTTTGAACATGGAAGTGCCATACAGTCAGAGTTGCCATTTGTGCTATTTATTAATAACTAGAGAACCCCTGGGAATTCAATGTAGCACTTAGGATAGGGAAACTGAGATTCTAGTTCTTTCCATTGTAATGAGCACAGTCCTTCACTTCTCTCTCATCATCTCCATTTGGCTCATTAGACCAATTTCCATGTCAGTTCCTCTTCTCTTTCCCTGTACTTTCTGAGGGTTTTGTACACCAAACAAGCACAGTGAGAGGAATTAATAAATCATCTCTACACCTTTTCTCTCATGTTCTTCCCTAAATCTTAACTCTTCCATCTGCTCGAAATGCTCCTCTGATACCCACTCCTTCCCTTCCTTTGGCTTCTTATTCCAGAGTCACCCCAGGAGAATAGCCCCGCATCATCCTACCTGCAGTATCAGCCCCCAACCCTGACACTTCATATCACTTCCTCTTTTTTCCCCTCCCCTTAGCATTTATTCCCACCTACCATACTAGACAGTCGACTTATTTCTCTGCGTGTTAGCTGTCTCTCCCACTAGAATGTAAGCTCCATGAGTCCAGGGATTGTTGCCTGTGTCTCCAGAGTCTGAGACAGTGCCTGGCCTGTAGCAGGTGCTCCCTAACTACTTGTTACATGAATGAATGGAAGTCATTTGCCCCAGGCTTTGGTTTCTCTGTGACATGACGAATGATGTGGTTTCACAACCTACTGGCATATGATGCACTGATGTCTCCATCACCCTCACTCCTGTCCCTGCTCAGAAAGGGTGCACGACAGCTAAGTGTGACATACCCTGTTGTCGCCTGGGGTCCTACTCAAGGTCAGAGCGGTCAGTGCAGGGTTTTATGCACCGAGCCAGCCTTTCTGGAGAAACGATTCCTGGGCTGGATTTCTCTTGAACATCGTCATAGCCAACCATCCCTCCTTCCTCTTCTGCCTGGATTCTGGGCCTCTTCTCCTTCCCAAGTTTTTCGGGTAGGCAGGAGCATGGATCTGAGCTTATTCCTTCCCCCACGGAATGCAGTTCACTTGGGTAGAGACACCAGCGGCTCTGCACCTGCTGGACGCCAGAATGAAGGGACAGTGCGGGCCAGCGACAGTGCTCCTTGCCACACCTGCAGTCCTGGTGACCATGACCTACACCTGTAGAGCCTTGCCATTGCTTTGCCGGGCTCCAAGAACATCCAGGGCTTGTCTGATGTTAAGTTTTACTGCCCATGAAAGCAAACATCACCTCCGTCATGGCCAGTGGAACACTATCTTTTACGGTGGACTTCTGCATTTCTGAAACCCACCCATCCAAAGTCAAAAGTAATGCGGGGAGGGGCAGGGAAGAGGTTTTATTCTGCCATGGTTTCGTAAAAGGGCAGATCAGGGGTCAATTCAATTCATAAAATTACTGCAGTCATTTTTCAGCTGGCTGAGAGACTTCATAGATCAAAAAATACAGTGGCTCCTAAATGATTTCTGATATGCACAGTTCTAGTGTTTTTTTGTTCTCAGCATGTGGTGCAGAGCCTGCCAGAAACCATCTTTGTGGCTATTGACAGGAGGATTAGAAATCATCCATGATGGTTTCCATTGTTTCTCTACAGGCTGCTCATCCATTTAAATGGCTGCGTGTGAGTTCCTCTCAAAGCCTGCTTTGTACGCGTTCTCCCTTAACATTTTTGCTCTTCTCTTTCAGTGCGGCGCCCACCTTGGGCACATTTTCGATGACGGCCCTCGTCCCACCGGCAAAAGATACTGCATAAACTCGGCTTCCTTGTCCTTCATGCCGGCAGACGGCAGTGGTGCCCAGGGGGGCAGTGGGGTGGGCAGCCCGGCCCCCGAGGACAAAGCGGAGCTGTAGGGTCGTGGAGAGCGGGGGAAGCAAGTGTACTTAACGCGCAGCTTGTTAAAAAAAAATACTCAGAATTGTCTATCTTAGATATATTTTTTCAAAAAATATAAGGGCAGTTTTGTGCTATCGATATTTTTCTTCTTTTGCTTAGACAGAGGCCCTGGCCATCAATGTATTTTGCTATCGACTAGATCCGGAACCACTTATACCTTCAGCTAGTGGAGATGGTTTGGTGAAACTCTTTCCCAGGCCACTTGAGTACCATTTGGCATTATTTTCTTTGAGCACATGGCTTCTTTTGAGATTTCTCCTGCTTTGCTTACGAGGCAGAGGGTGCTGGGTGTTCCCCCCAGAGACCCCCTCTGTGGCGGAGAGAGCAGAGCACCAAGCGCAGGGCACGCAGACCTTCGAGACACGTGGCCCTGAGGCATTTGTGCAGGCCTACCTGAGACAGGGGCGGACGGATGCCTTATGAGACTGCTCAGCTCCGTGGAAAGTCTGAGCTAAGGTCGTTTATTCGCACTAAAAGCGTGTGAAGGTCTGAAGTCTTTCCTTATGTTAAATTGTTGCCAGATCTGGTGGGGGGGGGTGGTTTACACTGAGTGTTATGGCAGAGAAGTAAACATTACCTCACGGTTAGGCCTTTATTTTATTTTATTTTCCATTGAAAACATTGGAATGTAAGACAACTATAAAATGCTGGGCCCCGTTTTGTCCAAAGTCCACAAAGAAGAACACCTGCCATTGCTTTTTCGAAGTCCGTCCCTCCACACCTAATACCAGCTGCAGCTGGGAGGGCATTTTGGTAAATCCCACTGTGTAAAATAAAATATTGGGGACAACACACCTCATCAAGGCAGCAGAAATAAGAGAGAGTGGAGAGGACCAAGGAAGAAGTCCTGGGTATTAAAATACCCAGTGCTGAGCAGAGAAGCTGACAAGATACTCCAAGTAACAGAGCCCAAACCTGGGGATCTTGTGCGTAGAGGTTCAGGTGACCTCTGGAAGGATGGTTGGGGTTAAAGTAGAAAGAACCAGGAGCTCAAGTCTCACCCTGCTGTGTGACAAGGGACAAGCCATTTAGCCTCTCCATATAAAAACTGGGACTTACATTATTTGTAAAATAATTGACACTCTCAGGGCAAATTTACAATATTGCTGTACCATTAAGATCGGTGTTGTAAAATTAAACTGATCTGGTTCTAATTGCCTCAAAGGCTGAAGCCCAAGCATTTGAAACGGAAAGAAGCAGAGAGAAGGTTGACTTAGCTGATTGGTATGGAAACAGTTGGGCCAAGAGCTAGAAATTTTTCTTTGTAGCAATATGGCTGGTTTTAGTCTGAGAAGCTCTGCTCCGTTTTGCTGTGTAACATTTAGCTTGCCCGAGTGGATGTCATTGTGCGTGATAAGGTTTCCACAGGTATGAACAGTGGCGATTTAAGATGATATTGCCATAACCAGGTTTGAGGGTGCAGTTTATGATGGATAGATACTGTGTTTGTAGCCTCGAATGCTAATCCTGAAATGTAGTTTTTAAAAAATATTTTGTAAATCTTTTGAAACCTTATGAAAACTGACATCTTTCCTTGTAAGCACCAAGACAAAAATAAGAAAGAGGGACACTTGACAGTTTCACAATGAGAAACAATGAGAAGTTAAAATGAAAAGTAACAAATCAAAGTGGCAGTGTGGTCATGTCCACATTCTTTCACGTGTCTACACATGCTTCCTGGCGAGGCCCGGCCTGATATTCTGGTGACTTCCTTGTCACGTACGCTCTAGCTTTACGATGCCAGGTAAGTCATGCTCTTCTTTCCTCGGCTCCCAGCTGTTTCACCTCAGGCCCTGGGTCCCTCTGGAACTGAGATGTAAAATTTAAGACCATGGAAGCCTCAGCACACAGACCATCCCGACCTCACAGAGGGAACCCCATCTTTTCCCAGAGACTCAAGGATCCCATGTGGGGTTGGCTAAAGAAGGGGGTCTCCCGGGACTTCCCTGCCCCACACAGCACTTCTCACTTTGGGCCACACAGCACTTCTCACAGTGCTCAGCTACATATAGTAGCCCGCCCCAGGTTTCTGCTGGACACGAGCCACTGTGTCGAGGTAGAAAAGGAAGATAAATGAGGGGCTTCTTCCCTCTCCCCAGAGATTCTGGACTCTCATTGTTCTCTCGTTTTTATTGGGCTTAACATTTCCCTCAAAAAACTCCTTTTCTAATCCTTTGTCTTTGTTTCAAGGAAAGCCAGCATCTCTCCTACCACATTTTCCAGCATCAACTTTAAGAAAAATGCAACATCCCTCGGGGAAAAAAAACAAAAAAACAAAAAAACGTGGGGTATATGCATGTGGTTTAATTCCAGATTGCTTTTGAGTTTAAGAGGTATCAACTTTCAGTATATTTCTGTCTCATGTTAAAGAAATATATTACTAAAACGTTGGTGAGCAATAATGTCAGCTGTCGAGCACTAGATTTATTTTTGCAGGATATGGAGCGCAATGAAGTGCGTCAGTATGGCAAGGTGTATGTGATCTGTGGAAGTTGTGCCATTTAACATAGGAAATGCATGGGACTTCCCCCTCTCTGCACTCAGCCCTTACTGTACCATTAGGAGATGCAGGTTTCTGCTGGTGTGTAAAAAGGACATCCATTGAGTCATGCAGAATGGATCTGAAGAAAGCAGCAGTACATATTGTATAAGAGAACATTTCTATATGTTTAAACTCTTCACTTCTTAGATGCATTGAAATACTTAATGCAAATGACATAGCAATTTAAAAGCCTTTCCATGTTAAATTGAATTGAAATGCCTTCCTTTAAATGTGGACTATTATGAAAGAGATTATCATTTGTTTTGAAGGTCAGATATTTTTGTCTTAGATAGTTTGTAATAATTTTTCTCCAAACAATTCCAAACTTTTGAAAAATGTCATGAGATTTTCATTAAAAGAACCCTTTTCCTATGTTTATTGTATACAGAAATTATGCAATAAAATTTCTTTATAAAAATGTGTTCTGCTTCCTGAAGACTGCTGTTATTTTTAGCACAGACACACGGACCATCCACTGGAGTTTGCCACTATGCTCTGTCCACCTCCTCCCAGCTGATATGTGTGTAGTCTGCACAGAGGGCCTTTGATCTGATGTGGCCTTTGCACAGAGGGGCTCTCATCATAGGGTCGAGTCCAACTCTCCATCCCTCAGGCCCCAGCAAAGGCCTCCAGGAATCCGAAAGATTGAAGGAAAGGGCAACATTCCCAGAGTTACTCAACCTTCCCCTCAGCACAATCTTCAGCAGCTTGTGTACGTTTTAGGGCTTCAAATATGGACTTTGGGGAGCTCCAGTGTGATAACTCTGTGGATAAAAATGTAGGAACGATACCACGCTGATTCCTTCGGCCCCCGTTAAATAATATGATGGGAAACTTCCAGTGTGGTCAAGGATTGGTCTCTAGGGAAATATGGTAGGTGTTCCCCAAAGCTCACAGATGAAATCCCCTTTAAGAGTCATCTGTACTGACGAGTTTCAGTGTAGTATTATTGGTTGATGAAATCTTTCATTTAAATGTTTCAGTTTATTGCGTTGACTTTGTTTCTTTCGTGGAGGAAAAGTGAGGTGGAGAGGTGGTAAAGACTTTGCTTTTCAGCCAATTCTTTAAGTCATATTCCTGGGATCCTGGCATCCATAGGCCAGCAATGTCACATAGTGTACCTTAGACTTAGAATAGCGCTTCTCAAAGTGTGGTCCCCAGGCTGCAGCATCCATAGTGCCCGGAACTTGCTACAAATACACATTCTCAGGCCTCCCAGACTCACTGCAATAAAAATTCTGGGGTGGAACCTTAGTGATATGTGTTTTAGTAAGCCCTCTGTGGGATTATGGTGCTTGTTCTAGTTTGCGAACCATTGCCTTGGAACTTATAGTGAGGAAAAAGTCATTTAGTCTGAATTTTAAAAGCATTTCTTTATGACTCAAAAATGCCTTGTTTTGTCATCGGTGGTTGTCTTTCGACAGAGATGAGTCAAACGGTTTTCCCCAGGCTTCATGCCTCTCAGCTGGTCCTATCCTTTGCTGCCCATTTGTCTTGTTCTGGAGCACTAGGGTGTCCTCATCAACCAGCACCACCTTCACTCCGGTTTGCCTTTTTGGGTTGAACCCGGGCTGCTCACCCATGCCTCTCTAGAACTGCAGGATATCCGTGGCCGGCTCAGCTCAGCAAATCCAAGAACTAGAGAACAGGTCTCAGCGCAGAAATTGACATGTGACCTTTCCTAACTCTTCCGTTTCTTTGTACCTTCCATCATCATCAACGTGGGTTTGTTTTTTTTTTTAAACCATCAAGAGATTTTTACGAAGGGGCCATGTATTCGAATTGTGGCATTATTTGGTCAGAAAACGGCTGTCATTACCCGGATCTTAACAATGAAATGAATTCTAAGAGATGCTGGCATACAAGAAAGGTTGAATTAAAACTTGTCCTTGGGGACAGGTTTACAAGTACCTGTACTGACTTCTGATTAAAGTTTATTGTGCATTACAGGAATGATAGAAATGTTACCATTTTGAAGTGGGACCTGAAAAAGTGCCATGTGCCACAGAAGAATATTCTAGCAATCCACTTCCCACCCACTTGCTCCCAGAGGCTGGCCTCGTCCTGGACCAACCTGGAAAAGGACTGGAGGTTCTAGACCAAGCAGCTCTTGCGAGTCAGCCATGCGAGTCGAGGGCTTTCACAGAACCATCACAGGTGAAGGCCAGAATGACCTGAGTGAGATCTGGGAACGAAATCAGATCCTCAGGCCTGTAGGACACTCTCCCAATTTTAGGGCTGGCTGCAGAACCACACTAACTTGTCAGATTACGGATGCCGGGAACCTCATTCTTATTTCAAGCTTTGCACTTTCCCTCCCTGCAGTGTCCACCACTCCACTCCCAGCAAATGAACTCCCACGTTATCATCCAGGCTGGGCAGGAACCCGACAGATTTTCAGGAATGAACAGCAGGGAAGTCCTCTTGTAGGGACCAAGTGCTTACTTCAGCACTATATGGACAGGGTGGGGTGTAGAAAGCTGTAGAAGAGGCTAGAAGGCAAAGTAAGGCAGAGTGTCTGTATTTGCACAGGAGAGAGTCCTTAAGAGTTAAGGTGTGGTTGCCTGACGCTTTATTCCCAAGGCCCTCAGCCTCACCATGGGATTTCTTTTTACCCTGATGATACTGTGTATTAAGTCATCTCTGTAAGTCAGGCACTCGATCCGTTTTCTTTAATATGAGGTAGGTAGTCTTATCCCCATTTAAC